AGAATATATGGTTCCTTGCAGAAAAGACTCATTGTTTTTGCTACTAACACAAAGATGTTGGCACATGCATCTCTAATCTGTGTGTATCAGATTATTAATAGTCATAATCGGTTGCACTTGGATCCTTGGTGCTTGTGTATGTCTATGAAGTCACCAGGTAGATTTCAATGGTAATGTTTATCACCTCTACTAATTAACATGAAGTAAATTTTTATGATTCCTCTTCAAATATGTCATTTTTTTATTTGTTGATTTTTTTGGTGTGTATTCATACAGAACATCCCAAACATTTTTTGTAGTTAAGTCCCTACTAGCAAAATAAGTGAAGTTTAATCTTTAACAATATAATGGCCTATTAGAACTTAAGTTCACATTAACTTAAAAAGCAGATAAATGGGTCTTATAGTTCCTTTAAAAGAAGAAAAAACTGGCAATTCTGTATGCATACTTCATGTCTTTTAGATGCAGCAAAAGAGAAAAAGAAGAATGCTCAGAGAATACAATTCAACGTACACTGTGAAAACTTCTGAAAAAAAAAATATCCCAACTCTGAGGAACGAAAAACTACTTCCAACTAATTCACAGTATTTGGGGTGCTGTGGCATGGGGGGGGGCAGTGGCTGTAGGTTTGTAGGTGGTTTCAAAATAAACAGAAAGGGCAGAAGAGATCCTCAGTACAAATAGGGAAGAGCTATTGGGTAGGTTTGTCTAAATGCCTGTCCACATTGAAGAAACCAACCACCTCATTTAAAAAAACCAGGAAACTATCATGAAGCAGGCAATACTCTCACCTTGGGATTTTATAAGGCATTGCCATTACCACCTTATTTTTCTTCTTGGTATTTACATGCCTAAGTTGGAAATGGCTGTTTTTATCTACAGGAGATACAGGCTGAAAAAGTGGATTGGAGATCACCCTGTAGGAACATGACTGCTGACTTCTCCCTCTGGGTCTCACTCTGAAGAAGTGAAACTGTTTGAAAAGGGAACTGTGGGACTACAGGGTATTGGATGGAGCAGAAAGAAGGGGCTTGGCAATAAGAATGGCTCACTTGAAAAAATTTGGGTGAAATAACTTTGTAAGCTATTTGCCTGTGGAGTGCAAGGTAGGAGGAATTAAAACATTGCCTCCATGTTTTATTCCTGGGCAATCACAAGAAATAACTGGACTATAGGGCAAGCAAGGCAAAATGGCAAGACATCAGCTTAGTATTAAACACTAAGCTGGAAATGTCTGTTCAGATTTACTCATCTGCTTGTGCCAGGTATTGTTTCCAGGCACACAGGACACAGCAGGGAAGCATTCTCAGTCACATGGAACTTACCCTCTGGTGGGAGAGAGCAGATGAGTAATTATATAAACAAGTAAATATATATTATAGGAAGTGTGGGGTTGTATGCAATTTTAAACAAGAAGGAAACATCTGAACAAATACCCAGAGGTGAGGGAGTGAGCTACACACAGAGCTGGGCAGAGTCAGCAACTAACACACCAGTAGCTCAAAATAATTTTACTCCGAAATGCTTTTGAAGTTATCCGCAACAATTTAACTTCTCCAGTTCCATTTCCTTCAGCTAGCTTTCAAGGTATCATTTCTGGATTGTACCCTACTCAATCAAGAAAACTTCACCAATAGCTCTATGCTGTGATAACAAACTGCCAACTAGGTCAACTTGTTTATGTTGGTTATTTATTTACCTTCTGCACATGGAGAAAGGAGCTGCATTTTAAAGAACAAAACCAAAGCACTGTCAGAACATGTTTGTACAAAGCTTAAGACAATAATCTTGTTCTGAAAGCAATAACTGATGTAGCAACTTTGAGACTTGTGATTTAAATCAAAGGTGAAGAACGATTATGAATCATGCCATTAAGCTACCAAGCAGGATGCTGCTGAGAAGAAACCATTCACAGCACCATAAAACCGTCAAAAATGAAAATAGTAACTAGCGTAAAAACTATAAGAAAACCTTTCTTTGGTCTTATAATTTGTTGGTTAGCAGAGCTGAGTTCTAGACTAAGATCTGCCATTTACTGGTTCCAGGTCTTTAGACTCATCCTCATCTGTAAGGGCCAGTCAAACTTGTTTTTCAGACACCCCCCCCGCCCCCATTTTTTGACACAAAGTCTAACCTTAAACTCACTATGGAGCTCAGGCTGGCCTTGAACTTCCAGTAACCTCCTGTCTGTCCTGAGTGGAGAGAGTACAAGCTTAGGCCACCACACCCTGCTTTCACACCTCTTTCCATCCCGTTTTAGTGGCAAAGCTATATCGTATTACATGTGTGTTTCTATTTTGGGGTGCTCTCGTTTATTCATTCTTGCGTTTATATAGTACAAAATAAGAAAACAGCAAATTTTAAGTTTTGCATAAAGGAACTGCTTTTAAACAAATCTACCTGGGCTCTCAAAATGAGGCTACACCCACCCTATAAGGTATCTTCTTCCATCCTTTAGAACAGTCATCAAAACTAACATATGAAGCTGCGTAAGGATGGCTGGGTAAGGACGGCGACTGCAGCAGGGTACTTGTGGGCGGGGATGGGGGGTGACACGAGACAGGGCTGGTTCCACCTCCAGCATTGACAAAAGAAAAAAAGGAATCCGAGGTGTTTGCAGCACTGTAGAGAGGATTTGATTTTGAACACGGTGATGGTTCTGCCCCTTAGTACCAGAGAAAAGTACCTTTAGGACTCAATTCACAAAAACTGTTGGAAGGACTCCCCCAAGCATTTGAAGCAACAACGCTGAGAAAAGGCATCCACTTCCCAGAGAGGACAACCTTAGAGACATTAATGCTCCTCTGAATGCAGAGAAGAGGAGATAACCAACATTGGTTTCCCCTTCTCTGCATCACACTACGAGCATCACAACTTTGTATACCTGAAAACTGCGGCACACAGAAGTTAAGCTAATTGCTCAAGTTTTTTGTAAGTACTGGACCTCAGGTATTCCAACTTCAAATCTGGCGCGCTCCCCCCCGGGGACCTGCTCCAACGCTTGCGCCCTTTCCTTCCCCACCTTTCCCACAAGCCCGAAGTCTCACAGACAACGTAAAACCGCCGGATTCCTGAACCACGAACCATGAATGTGTTTTAAGGCATGTAAAAACTTACACTACCTTACAAGTTTCCGAGACTAGGGAGGGGTGTGCTCGGCACCTCCAGCCTCCTGGGATCCGATCAAGTGCTGTGGGCTCCGTAGCCCGCCCCAGCTGGACTGGGGAGCGATCCGTTCCCTTCCCTTCCCGCAGCCGGCAAGTCCGGCCCAGGCACACCTACCTGCCTCGGAGGGCCGCGGGGTGCCGCCACCTGGCCCGCCCAGAGTGCCCAGGTTCCCGGAGCTGCGCACGTTTACCTTCGGGAACCCAGCCCTTGCGCGTGGCAAGCACCGCGGAAGCTACGCCACACCCTCCCGGTACGCACCCGGCCACCGGGTCCCCGCGGCGCCCGCAGGCCTGCGCCCTGCCCACCCCAGGCCCCGCCCGCCGACCTGCGCCCCGCCCCAGAGCACCGCCCCCGTGGCCAGGGCCCCGCCCCCCGCCAGCCAACGCGGTCCCCCGCGCGAGTCCAGAGGAAGGGGCAGCCTGCAGCCCAGAGGCCCTAAGTAAACCACGCCAGGCCCGGCAGATGGGAGTTGGGGGGGAAGAGACTGGGTTGTGTAGCTGCAGGGAAGGAAGGGCGGGACACATGCAGAGCGGAGAGTCAAGAGTCCCTTCTTCACTCAGAATGTGAAGAAAGAGGCTTGGTATGGAAAAATGGACACTCTCCGGGTTCCAGATAAGGTGTAGGACCAGAAGAGATCTTAGAACAAGGCTCACTCACTCAGCAACTGACGTATTCTCATTGTCTTCAGGCAGGGTAGAAATAACGCGTGAAAAGCCACTGGCAATGGTATTCAGAGGGGCAAAGAAAATAATTCCTTTGCTGGCTTCCACCTACGGTCCTCCTGATTCCTTTTAAAAATTGTAAGCCCCTGGGTGTGGTGGCTCACTCAATCTGCAGTCAGCATTTGGGAGATGAGGCAGGGGAATCAAGAGTTCAAGGCCTGACTTAAGCTATATAGTGAATTTGAGGCCAAACTAGACAACAATGAGACATTGCTTAAAACATGAATGAAGGGGTCACTGAGAGGTGGAGGCAAAGGGATCAGAAAGTCAAGGTCATCCTCAGCTATAAACCAGCTGAAGGTCAACTTGGGCTACCTGAGACCCTGGAGAAAGAGGGATCTGGGAGGGGCAGGGAAGCAATTACTGATGCTGACTCCATGTAAGAATTCTAGTCCAGACTTAAATCATTACTCATTCCCCCTTTCTCGGGCACATATTAAGAGAACAGACCTAATACACACAAGCCAAGTTTGGCATGGTTTAAAAAAAACTTGTAGGAGGCTTTGTTTTGGACTAGGCTCTTAACGACTAGGCCCCAACAGTGTTGACTAAAAATCAAAATGTAGTCACCCATGCTAAAGTTCCACGTACCAAACTAAATTGTTATCTGACATTCGTAGGCCAATAATCCTTGTATTTTTTAATCCCTTAGTTGTTACAAAAAGTAACCTGAAGTAATCTGCTCTTAACCAATCAGTTACTTTTCTATTGTTCGGCTTCTCTGCTCCTGCCATACAAGGAAGGCAACTTCCAAATAACAAATCCCTCTTTGCTTTGACTCCCCCTTTTTAGTCCTCCTCTGTCTATGAAACCAGCCTTTTCTTAGTTCACAGGAACTAACATTCCTTTTCATTCATGGGCTAAAATGTTCAATTCTGGAATAGCAAAATAAAGCCAATTAAGATTTTTTCACTTGTATTTTTTTTCAGTCCTCAGGATTGAGCCTAGTGCTTCATGCAATCAAGGAAGCACTCTACCACTGAACAACTGAACAACCTTTTTTTTTTCTTTTAACCATAGTGTGTTACTTCATGGTTTCTGACTGGGTATATGAATAAAAGGAAGCAAGGCTACTTGACTAATTTTAATTATTAAAATATCTAAGTTTGAAAAATGATATGAATCAAGTCAGTAACTGACTTTGTTAACTGAATAAAAGCAGGAAAACACAAGGCTGACATTCATTCCCAAAAAGCAGAAATGGACACAAAATAAGCTTTACTGCAAGAACTTCCAAAATGAATGCCAAGAGGCCAGCTTCCCTCAGTGTCCTACAGGAAAGTCGCAAAATATGAAGCCTTCGATTTGCATTTCAGTAAAATGAAGGGATTGGTCAGGTGGCGTCATAACGTCTAAATGCCCTTCCACTCACCAGAGTTTTCCTGCCAGGCCCCAGTCTAAGGAACAGGAATTGCTGTCCATCAGTGCTTTTTATTCAGAATTCACATAGACAAAAGCGAGGTTTTAAAAGAAGGCAAGAAAACAAGCAAGCCAGCAAGCAGGCAGCATCCAGGATCTAAGGCATAACATCACTTCATTCAGACTTCTGACCTTTCTGTGAGTAGTAATACTGAGTTTTAAAAAAATATTTTATTTACTATTTTTATTTTATGTGTATGCATGTATTGCCTGCATGTAGGTAAGTGCACTCATGTCGTGCAATGCCCGCCAAAGACAGAAGAGGCTGTTGAATCCCCTGGAACTGGAGTTATGGACAGTTGTTAGCTACTATGTGGATGCTGGGATTCAAACCCGGGTCTTCTGCAAGAACAGTCAGTGTTCTTAACCACTGAGCCATCTCTCCAGCCCCAATACTGATAGCTTTAAGTCAAACTTTTGACCTATCTTCCTCACAGTTGGTTACTAGGTCTTTGGTTTTCTGCTTTTCAGAGTCTCTTCAATGACTCGTCCCATTTTCATTGCCATCTTTGTAAAAAGTACAAATTCAAAGAACACAGGACCTTCACTCTGACTCTAACCTACTCTTTCTAGCTAACTCCCAATTGTCTTTTGTACATATGATTCAGTCTGCCAGATTGTCTCTTCATTGTACAGCCTTGCCACTGAACATGTTTACCCACCACCTCTCAACTCAGAATTTCCTCTTCTTAGTCCCTGTACATGTCCTGATACAATTGCTCAGCTCAGGGAATAAAATGCTACAATATTCAACACAGCACTTAGCTGGACTGTCATGTATTGTTTTCTGTTATTTAAAATACATCTGTAGGGGTTGGAGAGATGGCTCAGTGGTTAAGAGCACTGGCTGCTCTTACAGAGGACCTGGGTTTGATTCCCAACATGCACATGGCAGCTAACAACCACCCTTAACTCCAGCTCCAAGGATTTCAACGCCCTCTTCTGACCTCCATGTGCACTGCATGACCTGGGTGCATTTACATAAATGTAGACAATATGCTCATACACATAAAATAAAAATTATAAATATTTTTAAAAATACATCTCTAACAATAAAATGTAAGCTACTTACTAAATGCCCCTAAGCCCCAGAAAATACACACACAAATGTTATTTTTAATATCTCAAGAAACTGAAATTATATCCACCTACAATTCTGAGTTTTGGGTTACCAAAAGCAAGATTCTCTCTCTCTTTTTTTTTTTTTTTTTTTTTTGGTCTTTTTGTGAGACAGGGTCTCTCTGTAGCCCCAGCTGGCCTGGAATTTGCTTTGTAGACCAGGCTAACCTTGAACTCACAGAGATCCACCTACCTCTGCCTCCCGAGTGCTGGGATTGGCTAATGTAATATTGAAACGACACTGGTTACATAATTCTAACCAAAAAGTTTTACTTGGCAATTGTGCCTGATTCATAAAAAATTCATGTAGATAAAAATAAAAACTAGAAGCTTGGGATATAGCTTAATCATAGAGTACATGACCTTAGGTTTGATCTCCGGAGCACAAAAAAGAAAAATAGCTCATTCACTCTTTCTCACCCATTGTCGGAACAAGTGATATGCCTGTCACAAATACTTGAAGCCTGTAATTGCTTCCGATGTTCCTT